ACTCTAAATTATAAATAATTAAATTAAAAAAATAAAAAATAAAAATAAAAAAATATAATAAATTATTATCATAATAATACGAAGAAATAATATTTAATAAGAAAAATAGTGTTTGAAATAAAAAAATATAGTGAATATTTTTCATGCACCTTTTAATTTTATACTAAATATTTAATAAGAGAAATAGTGTTTGAAATATTATTTGTTTCAAATTTATTTTTTTTTTAGTTTAAAAAATAATATTTTAATATTTTTAAATGATTTTAATACTATTATATTAAAAAAATTAAAAAATTAAAAAATATTATTTTAATATACTTTTAAATAAAAATAATTTAAAATATAAATTGCATGACACTCAGAGTTTCAACAGGCAGTTGAAGCAAGCACACACTGAAATCTCTTCTCTGCTTCCGATCACTTTTCCATTTCTTTCAAGCAAAGATAGCCCTAGAAATCTTAACACCCCCGACAAGACAAACGCCACCAAATCATCAGAACCTTAATCTCCTCAGCCTACCTGTAATCAGCTTCCTAACCCAGTCAACCATGGACGTTGATCCTCGTCACTACGAACAGATTGTAAGTAATTTTTAGTATCATTATAATCTCAGATTACCACGCGTTCCTTTCTGGTTGCGTTACAATTTTACACCCAGCAACTGTTGTTTATGATCGAACCCTAATTTGTATTTTACATTGTTTGCTTTGCAATGTCGGGGATATATAGTTACGGGTATTATTGATGCTGATTAATCGAATTGTTTGAAGCAACTGTTGGTATTAATATTAATTAGGGTTTCCGGGTTATTCTCAATTTTCTAATGTGTGGATGCGTCGTTTTTATATGTATTTACAGGGTATCAAAGATAATGATATCCACAATATTGTGCTATCCTATCTGGTGCATAATTGTTATAGAGAAACTCTGGAATCATTCGTGGATTGTACTGGGATGCGAGAACCTGCAGATTATATTGAGGACATGGAGAAAAGAAAAGGTATGGAAATCTTTTCAGTTTTTGACAGAAAAGTAGGATTTGTAACTTTAAAGCATGACCACTTGCTTTTTTCAATGTTTTCAGTCACAATGCTTGTAGCTTTTAAGTTTTGAACTTGTTTAGTCACGAGATATGTAAGTCGAGCTTGTTAAATTTGTCAATATTCAAAGAAAAGGAATTTATGTGGTCTTTTTTGCTTGTGTTTTGGCGATTGGCTACCTAGCCCCAATTTGGTGTAAAAAGTACTATTTACCATGCTTAATTGCTGCACTTACCAGTTTCCATTGCAACTTCTTTTCATACATTCCTCTTTCTGGTGACGTTGGTTGTTTTCATGAAGATTATTGGAAGAATCGAGCAGATATTGCTCCGCTACTGCTATGCAATGATATGTATTGTTTAAACATCAGTAGCGATAAACCATAGATCCTGTTCTTTTTACCATAGTAGTTTACCATAGTAGTTTGCTTGTACTTTTCTTGGATATAAATGATCTGACAATGATTTTCAGCTTTGTTCCTTTGCTGATCTCTATTCTTTTTTATACTGTTGCTAATCGTAAGCTATGTGCTCAGGGATATTCTGTTGTGTCCTAGAGGGGAATGCACTAAAGGCCATTGAACTGACAGAACAAGTGGCATCTGACTTATTGGAGAATAACAAGGACTTGCATTTTGATCTTTTGAGCCTTCATTTTGTTGAGCTCGTTTGTGCTAAGAAGTGGTAAGTAGTAGAATAGTGTACTTCCAAGAATATCTTCCACTTATGTTAAATCCTTGTATGCTAATGGACAGCACTGAAGCTTTGGAATTTGCTCAAAACAAGTTGATGCCATTTGGGAAGGAGCAGAAGTTACTTGAAAAGCTTGAAGTATGTTCCTTCCTGAGTAAACCACTTTAAGCATAGCTACTGTTTTGAGTCTACTATTGTTGGAAAATGAAAAACCATTTAATTTTGCTGCAGGACTTTCTGTCTCTGCTTGCTTATGAGGAACCAGAAAAATCACCAATGTTTCATCTGCTTGGCTCGGAGTACCAGCAGCATGTTGCAGACAAACTAAACCGAGCCATTCTTGGTTTGTTCCTGCAGTTTTTTTCCTTGTTCCATGTTTTTTCAGAAGATTCCATACTAAAAAATGTGCTTCTTGTTGATTTGATGATTCTTTCTATAATTACCATTCATACTCTTCTCTATTTATTTGTTGGTCCTGAATGATACCAGCCCATAGAAACTTGCCAAGCTATACAGCAGTGGAAAGACTGATACAACAGACGATAGTTGTAAGGCAAAGTTTAAATCAAGATCATGGTAAGGTAAGGCATGGTTAATGATTTTCCCCATTGAAACCGTTAGAGGCTGGGGATTTTATCTAATTCTGCTGATATCTCAACTGTCTTTGAGTTTCTCGATGGCTAATTTGTTATTGGTATAGTTATGCTTTACTCTTTTAGTATGTGTTTTTATAGGATGAGATTCCTTCATTTTCTCTGAAGGACTTTCTCAAAGGCTAGATTCTGGAAGTGATTAAAACATTCTGTTGAAGAGTTAATGAAGGCTACTTCATATCTTGTTGCCACTGTATGGTTTTGGTGTAATGTTTGTTCATGGGAAGATAACAGTTATCAACGCCCCTGCATCTGAAAAAGTTGCTGAGTAGGCTGTCAGCTGACTCCCGCGTCTGCTTCTGCCTGCATTTGGTGAGGTATGCCTCTTGATTGACCACAGCACTAGTGCATTTAAGTTTCAACTCTGCGCTGATTGGATTTGTCATTGTCCATGGTTTTGACAATCCAGTGGCTTGTAAATTTTTGCTTGCATGTTAGAGACTAGGAATTTAGATTATTTTGTGTCCTAATGTCAAATTTATCCTGATTTGACGATATTCGAAGTCTTGTTTAGTGGAGCAAGGTTGGGATGGAAGGACCACGCTATTTCATGGCACCATGACTTAGCATATGGTAAAAAAAAACATAATATTGATTGTAAGAACTGCCAATGGTTGTTGTGCTTGTAATCCTATTTCTGTGATATGGTGTACAGGGCGCACCATAAAACGAATTGTAATTCTGGAATGTTGATGTTGGAAATTTGCATATGCTGGCAGTGGATGATTTTAGTAATTAGAACGTAGGTTACCATCATTTGACAGCTGCCCTACCCGTGAGGAGGAGGTTTCACTATCTTTTAGTGCAGAGCATTCTATTTGGTTTAAAAGTTGCTTGGAGTACGGGCTACTGCTAGGTCTTGTTTGAAGCTGTTTCTGTCTAACATGACTTCACTACATACATGCCATTCCAAAATCCAAATGGGAGAAACCAGCGACATATATTTCGAGACACGAACTTTACAGAGGCTGTCAGTTACAAGCAAACGACTGGCAAAGGCTGCAACAATATGATCATTAGAACCCCAAAAAAATTGATTCTCATTCATTTTTAAATTATCAGGTGATTTTTTTACGAACCCAAAAACTTACTGCGCTGAATTATAGATTATATATAATGTTGTGGTTATTTTTTAAAGTTTTTTTTAAAATATATTAATATAATATAATTTTTTATATTTAAAAATTATTTTTGATATTAAAATGATCTTAAAAAAAAATGAAGTAAAGAAAAAAATTAATTTTTTTTGAAAATATTTTTGAAATACAAAAATAAACAAGTTTTTTATAAGTTAATGGCACAAGATCATAAAACTTTTTCTAATTTCTTTATTTTTTTTGGGCATGTATAATCTTAACCATAACGTGATGAGATGAGTTGACTTGGAAAATAAAGTAGATGAGTTGACTTGGAAAATAAAGTTTTAAAACCTGATCAAAATATTGATTTAATAAAAACTTGATTAACCCAGTCAAGTTTTTAATTCAAATTCAAGCTAATATAATTTATTTTTTTTAAAAAAAGTTTTTGATTAAGCTATAAATACCATCATAAAACAGATCACAATTAAAAAAGAAGTAAGCCCAGATGATAATACATACCGGTTATAAAAAGGTTGAACTTTTTAGGCCCAAACTCTATAGTTGCCCCTACACCATGCAAGCCTGAAGGGAGGGAAGGGCTTTCAAGTTCCAGGGCAACAATTTCAAAGTTTCAACCATGTGCAAGAACACGGTTGAAATTTGAAATTCTTTGATCGAGGCCTCTATACCCACGACTCCAATAGATCCTCTAGTTTCAACATCTTTTTATTGAGCCTGTTAAACCCCGAGTCTTACCCTCCCTGTAACATAAAACAAAGAATTCAATAAAACTTTTGTTTGCCGTGATGTTAATGTTGAATTATGTAAAAAGTTCCTAATCCTCGAGATCTTGATCAATGGGGTTCGCGACCTAGTTTATGGAGATAGCCATTTACGCTCTCGAACATGAATCTTTTGAGAGCTAAGCAAGCGATGAAAGATTACATTCGAAGGAAATAAAATGCGATTCGACAATCCCATTCTCAATTCCATGAGCGTAGGGAAGAGTGAATCAAACAAACTAAATCTTCATACAGGTTCAAAATAAAAAAATAGTTGTTTATTTTTATGTTTTAAAAGTGTTTTTATAAAAAAAAAATATTTTTTATTTTAAAGTTATTTTAATATGCTGATATTAAAAATAATTTTTAAAAAAT